CTACAGGCCCGTTGCCCTGTTATCAGTAATCTCCAAAGTGATGGAGAAAGCCATCAATATTGAGCTTATCAAATATCTGGAGAGCTCAGGAATCATCAATGATAGACAATACGGCTTTCGCCACCGAAGATCTACTGGAGATCTACTTGCCTACGTCACCCTTTTATGGCAATCTTCAATAGAAAAACACGGGGAATCTCTAGCTGTCGCGTTGGACATATCGAAAGCATTCGACCGTGTTTGGCACGAAGGACTCCTCCACAAACTACCATCATACGGCTTACCACCTCAGCTATGCCATCTCTTATCGAGTTTTCTTTCAGGCAGATCGCTTCACGTGGTAGTGGACGGTGTATCGTCTGATACCATTGGCATCAATTCCGGCGTTCCACAAGGATCAATTTTGGCACCAACATTATTCCTGCTTCATATCAATGATCTGTTGGGAGTAACAACTTGCCCCATCCACAGCTTTGCAGATGATAGTACCCTCCATACTGCGTTCTCTTCCAGAATTCCCATTTCTTCCCAGGAAACTAAGAACTCACGGCGCAGGCAGGTCAATGCTGTCAATGAAGATCTTGCTGAAATCACAGCCTGGGGAACGAACAACCTAGTTGAATTCAACGCCACCAAAACTCAAGCCTGCATTTTCTCTAGAAAGGCGGAACTCAGTATGCCCAATATTGTAATGTCTGGCTCCATCATCCCCACCAAGCCCACCATATCTATGCTCGGTATTTCCATCAGCAACACTCTTTCATGGGATAATCATGTCAGATCCATCGCAAAAGCTGCTTCACAAAAACTCGGATTCTTGTTCCGTGCGAAAAGCTACTTTACACCTCAACAGCTTCTCATGATCTACAAAGCGCAGATACGGCCTGTTCTAGAATACTGTTCCCACATATGGGGTTCAGCACCAAAACATACGCTGATGCTCTTAGATTCCATCCAGAGAAGAGCCATTCGCCTGGTGGGTGACGCCACACTCACTCACTCTTTGACATCATTGGAACACCGTAGAATGGTCGGCGACCTTTCACTTTTCTATCGATACTTCCACGGGAAATGTTCTTCGGAAATCTCTGCAATCATCCCTTCACTAGCAATACCAATCAGACGAACTAGACAAGCCCAGTCAGCACATCCTTTCGTTGTCAACCTCGAAAGATGTCGAACAGCACTTTATCAAGACTCCTTCATCCATAGAACGGCTAGGCTCTGGAATTCATTGCCTGTGGAAGTATTCCCAACAACATATAATCTCCAAAAATTCAAAAAAAATTCCAATACCTACCTCCTGTCCCTATCCTCCCTAGGAACGCACGATGTTCTTTGAACATTATAGGGATTCCCTTTCGTGCGCTCCAATCGATAAAAAAAAAAAAAAATTATTATTCTGATTGAGTACACACATATATATATGCAGGTGGCTATATCTTCATTAACTAGAAGTTCATAAGATGATGAAAACTATATCTTGGTCTTAGTCTTAGAAAAAAACACCTCGAAAAACACACTTTACGCTCTGAGAAGGTGATAACAATGGTAGGTTCTATGACAATTGGTGAAAATAGTTATTTATATACTTACACCAAGGTAGTGAAGAATATCAGTTTTACCCAAGGACCAAGACCAAGGCTCCAGCCGAGGAGAATCAAGTCCCGAAGTGATGATGTTCTTCACTACTAAGGTGAATATTAAATTTTTTCACCACAAGCAATACATCTCACTCATTATAGTTTTGTTAGACTAAAATATAGACATAGTTTCACTGTGAAATCACTTCTCTTCAATTCTGATCAAAATCAAATAGTCATGTCGATGACAGCATATGACAAGTCGTTATTGATGAATAGGAACAGTAAATTCAGGTCAATTATAACAGAGGTGACTATGTCTTTATTGACAAGTGGTTCATAAAATGACGAAAACTACCCTGGTAGTAAAAACACACCTTACACTCCGTGGAGGAGTAAATAATGGTAGGTTTCAGAGCTAGTGGTGGAAAAAATATATTTTTAAATGCTGTATTGTATTGTTCTACAAATATATCAGTATACAATATTGTATCTTCAATATTTGAAACATTGATAATCAATATATCGAAGACTGGAACCTTTGGCACGATAATACACTACACTGTTCTACCACTAACCAAACCGATTTTTTAACGCCTCGACAGGTGTTTCTCTAACATAGATAGATAGTTTATTCACCACTTTACGTACTGATGTACATTTGTAGCATGTCATATTATTACAATTCAACTATGAATATTAATATACGAATACATAAAAATCAACACATACATTCAAGTTAAAAATAATTATCACATGTTAAAATAGGATATAAAATACATTATACAATACTGACAAATTAAAATTTAGTTGAAATAACGTCTATGATCGCCAGAGAGATATTTGAACTGAGAAATTCATCCACTGAATAAAAACAGTAACTCAAAAGGAATCGTTTTATTTTAATTTTGAAATCGCGAGCATTCAAGTGTTTAACTCCATTTGGTAGCTTGTTGTATATATTAATATGCGGAGAATTTTTTTCTGACATCACAAGTCTTTGCCTGGGTTTTTTCAGCGAATCACCTGATCTCGTAGAATACTGATGGTTAACGGTCATAAATTGATAATCGTTTTTGTTAGTGTGGATCTCGAGAAGCGTGAGATAGATAAAAATTGTGGGAACTGGCATAATTTGAAGTTTGCGAAAAAGTGGACGGCAATGGTCTCTGTAATTTGCACCACTCATGATTCTGACTACTTTTTTTTTTGTAGAACGAATATTTTGTGAGAATGACATGATCTGCCCAACAGTAATATACCATACATTATATGGCTGTGAAATAAACTATGATTGGAGGATCTGAGAACCTCTGAACTGACTAATTTCTTCATTCTACGGATCAAAAATGTAATCGAAGACAATTTTCGGCCCAACTGTTCCACATGAGCTGCCCAATTAAGTTTGTCGTCAATTACAGTACCAGTAGTGTAACAGTTTTTCCAGACGAGATGTTAGAGTGGGATGATATCAACAATTCTTGATTTTTATCGGTGTTCAGTTTGAGTTTATTTGCAATAAACCAGTGATTGGCTTTCTCCTGACAAAGATCTACAGATTCGGACAAAGTTTGCAAATTCTTTTCAGAATTTATCAAAGTGGTGTCATCAGCGAAGAGTACACTGTTGATTGGAAGCATATGATAGAATAGATCATTAATATAGACAATGAATAGCAAGGGTCCTAGGACCGATCCTTGTGGAACACCATGTGCAATTTTAGCGAGTGATGATTGACTTTCATTCAGCATAACACATTGAGATCTCCCATCCAGATAAGATTTGAAAAAATTGAGGGACGTCCCTCTGATACCGTTTGATTCAAGTTTTTTCAACAGAATATCGTGAGAGACACAGTCGAAGGCCTTAGACAAGTCACACAAGGTGATCACTGAGTGTTTGCCTTCCTCAAGACCTTCAACTATGTCTGATTACACGCATAATGGCTTTGATTGTAGAATTATGTTTTCTGAAACCGAATTGACCAACACACAATAAAGAATTCGAATCCAAATATGATGACAATCTATTTTTCACGATGATTTCAATTACTTTAGCAAGAACAGGTATAATAGAAATTGGTCTGAAGTTTTCAACGCATGATGGGTCTCCTTTCTTGAATAAGGGCAAAACAATGGAAGTTTTCAATGCATCTGGGAATACTCCTAATTCAAAACATTCATTAATGATCATTGAAAGTGGATGGGCTATTATATCTGCTACCTCTTTGAGTATATAGGAGTTCAATTCAAAGATATCTTGACAGTGAGAATTTTTTAAAGAAAATATAGTTTCCTTGACTTCCTGAGGTGTAACTGGCGATAGAAAAAAAGAGTTAGCTGGAGAGTGTAAGTTATTCAAGAAGTCAGTAGGTTCATGATCAATATCTGGCAGAAAAGATATCAAATTAATTGCAATATTGCAAAAATATTCATTGAAACTATCATGAGATAAATTCATATCAAGTTTGGATGTATTCTTTTTATTTCGTTCAAAATTTATTAGTTTCAGGCCATCTTTACATTTATTCGAGGAATTTGTCAGAAAATTTTCATACGAAAGTCTTTTTTGTTCCATAATTGATTTTTTGTATAGTTTACGATATGAATTATACGCTTTTAATGTGATTGAATCCCTATTTACATCATAAATCAATTTGATAGTCGATAAAGTGTCTCTCATATTTTTAAGATCTTCATTGAACCAGTTCATAGGTGATTTAAAATTTCTATCCTTGATTCTCTGCAGAGGAAATATCTTTCCAGAGAGATAACAAAAGTTCAGATAAAAAATGTATATCATATATTTTTTCAAAATTGGACCAATTTGTATCTAGCAGAACGGACCTCAGTTCATCAAAACCAGATCTATGGAATTTTTGTTTCCAAACATAATCATGAGAATTTTTTGATTGTTGCAATATTTCCATAAACTGTCCATTATGGTCTGATAAACAAGGATCCATGATACCAGCACGAAAATTGACTTCGTTGAGATTTGTTATTATATTATCGATGCATGTGGCTGATTCTCCACTGATGCATGTGGCTGATTCTCCACTGATCCTTGTGAAATCTGAAATAAGTGTTTTGAGTCCGAAAGAACTTACGAGGTTATCTAGATCCGAAAAATTTGTTGACTGTGACAGAAAGTTGACATTGAAGTCGCCTAATATAATGATACTGGCAACGTTGCAAAATAGTGAAAACGCATGTTCGTTGAGCTCTGTGAAATAAAACAAAATCATCGAAGTTCAAAAGTGAATTATATATTGAAACTTGCACCGCATGCAAGGTAAGACTCTGCGCTAAGTGACCAAAAAAAAGTTACTGTGTTATTGATCCGTAAGTACAGTAATTACCATTTGAACATCGAATCAAACTGCCAAGTGATAATCAACTACCAGAGTATACCAAAATGTCCAACTGCGTCATTTGCGGTGAACGGCCGTCAGCAAAGCAAAAAATTAACTGTAAGTGCTGTTCTAAGGCTTTCCATGCAAATTGCATCAATGTCAAAGACGGCCATATACCGTCCTACAATTCTGGGGAATATATATGGTTATGTGATAATTGTAATAGTAAAGTGATCAGCAACAAAAACCAACAATCGCCAGTGGCTGATTCGGTGACAATGTCTGAAATACGAGATACTTTGAGAGCCTTACTGGACAAACAAAATCATTTCATTGAAAAACTGGAAAAGCATAGTACGGAAATTGAACAACTAAAAAGCAAAGATATCGAGCATGGAGCAGGAATACGTGAAAATAGGGAAAACATAGAAAAACTGGAATTGCAAATGAAATCCGTTCTGGAAGAGAATAATAGTTTGAGGCAAAAGTGCAACAAAATCCAACAGAGTAGCATGAACAATTGTTTGGTGGTCACTGGTGTGCCACTGCCAAAAAACGAAAATGTTTTTCTGACGACCCAATTAAAAGGTTCGGCGCTGGGGATGCGGCTAACTGATTCACACGTTGTCAATTCGTATCGTTTCCTGGGAGCTGGTAGGAAAAATTCCAATTTGATTATTTGCTTCACCAAACAATCGTACAGAGACGAATTTTTGAAGTGTCGTAAAATCAAGCGGGACTTCTCCACAAAGGACTTGGACAAATCTCTGAGTAATCTTGTCAGTGAACCTAATGTTATATATGTCAATGAGTATTTGACTGCTTATAATAAAAATTTGTTTTTGAAGGCAAAAGAATATAAAAATGATAACAATATCAAGTATCTATGGATAAAAAATGGAAGTATTTATATGAGGAAATTGGAGGGAACTAGGGCAGTTTTGATTACTTCTGAAAATGATTTTCAAAATATTCAATAAAGCACTATCTTTTCATTCATTTTGGTACCGACAAACAAAAATAAAAAAAGAAAAAAACCTCCCCTAAACACGATCAATGACTGAATGCAATATTGGTGTTTTTAATATCAGATCAATTTTTCCGAAATTCTTATCTTTCAGCGAGTACTTGATTAATCTAAAATATGACATAGTGCTGATAACTGAAACATGGCTTCATGCAGGTATAGATGATGCGTTGGTGACCGTGGACGGTTATAGAATGTACAGACGAGACAGAGTTATGGGAAGGGGTGGCGGGGTTCTTATATACATCAAAACTTCTATTAATAGTTCCTTACTGAATTTTCCAGAATTGCAAGGTGATACGGAGCAAATTTGGATATCATTCTCAAACAATAATTCGACCAATTGCATTGGAGTTTTATATAGAGCACCACATTTGCCAGTAGCTGAATTTCTTGAATCACTGGAAGAAATTATGGACAATGTCACTCTCCAATTTGATAATGTTTTTTGTGGGGGTGATTTCGATATAGATTTTTTAAATACTACTACAAATAATTTCAAAAACCTCAACTCCATGATTGAAAGTTTTGGTTTGTGTCAAAATGTGAATGAACCGACTAGAGTAGGTGCAAACAGTGCAACTCTAATAGATTTATTTCTGAGTTCAGAACATGTGGAGATTATCGAATGTAAGACATTTGACGTTATGAATTTATCTGATCACAGTTTTGTCAGCTGTAAAATAAAACTCAACATTGGCAATTCTGAACAAATTTTTTGTTCTTACAGAGATTTTAAAAATATTAACCAGAACGCGTTCGAATCAGACCTAAAAAAAATTGATTTTGATCAAATTTATTATAGAAAAGATGTAAATGAAAAAATTGCAATTTTCAATGACTTACTACTGAACCATTTTAACAAACATGCTCCAGTAATAAATGCTCGAATAACAAAAAAATATGCGCCTTGGCTCACTCCAGATCTCAAAGAGATAATGAGACAAAAAGAAAAGGCCCTAACAAAATTTAAAAAGTCAAAAAATGAGCTAGATTGGCTGTATTATAAGCAAATGAGAAACTTCTGCAATTCGGCGGTAGAACACCAAAGAAAGTCTTATTTTTCAAAGCTTGTGAGGGAAGATAGGGGAAATAAATCATTATGGAAAACTCTGAAAAATTTCAATATCCGCTCAAAGGATCACAGTTACAACTTACCTATTGAACTATCGGATGCAGATGTCATCAACAGACATTTTGTAGGGACTGAGCAGGAGAATAACACTCCTGATAAAAAAGCAAAGCAATTTTATGACAATAATGTCAAAGCAGGGTCAGACACATTTTATTTCAGGCCAGTCTCTGTAGAAACTGTAAAAAAATATATTTTGGAAATTAAATCCAATGCAACTGGTCCAGACGATATAAATTTGAGAATGATTTTACTGTGTTGCCCCCGTATCATTTTGTATATTACGCACATAGTTAACTGTTGTATAGAAAATTCAATTTTTCCAGATTGCTGGAAAATAGCACATGTTCTTCCCCTTCCAAAGATCAGTAGTCCGAAAAACCTGAAAGATTTGAGACCAATCAGCATCTTACCTATGCTGTCAAAAATTTTAGAAAAAGTTATGAATACACAAATTAGGGAATACTTAGATATACATAAACTTTTACCGGCCAATCAGTCAGGTTTTCGGCCCCATCACAGTTGCTCATCCGCGCTTCTGAAGGTTACGGACGACTTGTTCTCTGCCATTGATGAAAATCGTCTGGTTACACTTGTCCTATTGGACTATTCAATGGCGTTTGATCGCATAAATCACGAACTCTTACTAGCAATATTACACTACAATGGTTTCACTAATAGTGCACAGTGCATGATGAAGAATTATCTTTCTAACCGCGTCCAATTTGTGAAAATTCATGACAGGTATTCTGTACCTCTGAATCTCACTACTGGAGTTCCCCAAGGTTCGATCTTAGGTCCGTTGCTATTTATGATATATACAACTAATTTTTCGACTTATTTATCACATTGCAAATCTCACTATTATGCGGATGATACGCAAATTTATTATTCTTTTAGTCACGAAAATTTACATGAAGCTTGTAATGTTCTGAATGATGATCTCAAGAATTTATCAGTGGCATCAAAACACCACTGTTTAACCATCAATCCTTCAAAATCGAAGTTGTTGAATTTTGGGAATAAAAATCATCGTATTCAGCTACAGGAACAAATGAATATAACAATTGATTCAGAACCTCTAGAAATAATTGACTCCGCAAGAAATTTGGGTTTGATAATGGACTCCGAGTTGAGATTCAGTGGGCATGTTACAAAAACCATCAGAACGGCCTATTGCAATCTCAAACTAATTTATAACATTTCAAAAATTCTCGATTTCAAGACAAAACAAATACTGTGTGATACTCTTGTCTTGAGCCACTTTAATTTTGCCAACATAGTGTATTATTCATGCCTAACAAATCATGATAAAAATCGCATTCAACTCGTGCAAAATGCTTGTGCTCGACTGATTTATGGAGTAAGAAAACGAAATTCCATAGCGCATAAAATTAAAGAAACCGGATGGTTGACGATGAAGCAAAGATGGATATTACATTTGTGCTGTTTCACTCATAATTTAATTCAATCACAATCACCACTATATTTATTTGAAAAGCTACAGTTCAGAGAAAATGTTCACATACTCAACACTAGATATAGGCATCGCCTCAACCCTCCAAGGCACCATACATCACTCTACCAACGATCCTTCTCATATAATGCTTCAAAAATTTACAACGTCATTCCTGACTCCCTAAAAATCATGAATAGATTTAAATTCAAGACCTCGCTGAGAAAAATGTTATTTGAGGGTAGGTTTGATGAATTATAATTTGTACGATGTACCAAATGAATATTCTGATATTCTCACTTGTGTTTTTCTCACCCTAGTTGCCTTCATCAAAACTCTTTGCCTTCAATTTAACTTCAATTTAACTTCTTTTTTGTTTTTTGTTTTTTTTTTCCTTTTTATTATTCTGTTGTTGTTATTATTATTCATCTGGTGTTCCAAGTTTATTATGAATATGTTTATAGGTGTATTACATTGTAGAGTTAATTCATACCTACTTAATTGAAATATTCTGTATGACACAAAATTTGTATATTTGGTAAGATTTAAAATTCACTTCAATCAAAATTCTCAACCAATTTTATGTAATAATAAGAGAAACATGAACATGCTAAGATTTATCATGGGTTGGATGGAAGAGCAGTCACCATTATCTCCGGATAGGGGCGACTGAATTCCGCCCTTACATATTGTCAATAAAAAAAACGACGAAAAATTATGTATTATATTCTTGGCAATATGAATAAAGACATATTATTATTATTATTATTATTATTATTATATTTTTTGCATTTTCAGAGTATTTAGTAAGAAACATATCGAGGTTCTTTGTAAAGTTACCAAAATGACCCAGACAAGACCGATATAGTGCAACAATTATCAAGTCAGAAACTTGAATGCCACAAATTTCTATTGCTATTTCTTCACAATAATCTTCATAGTTAGCGAAACACGTGTCGAGGCGTTAAAAAATCGGTTTGGTTAGTGGTAAAACAGTGTAGTGTATTGATAATCAATATATTCATCCAAATATTACTCTAATATGGTGTGTAAATCATTATCGGAAAACTTATACAAGGTGATAGCAGAGTATTTGATTATTGTTCTCGCAATATTCGGAGAGATAATATTCCCTATATCTATCGATCGATATTATTTTCACTATTCACGTGAGGCAAACATTGGAAACACATTTTTGGAGATTAATATACTATGACACTTGACACAAAATATTTTTTTAATACTGCTATGAAAAGTAGCGCATTTCTCATAGCTTACTTAGTTTCAAAACCATGTATTGCTCATACTGTGAGAAATGTTTTTTCTCACAGCACTTTGCCAGCACCACATACGTGTCCATGGAGAATCAACGAAAATCGACCAAAACTTGGCTGCTGTTCAGCTTCGAATAGTTGTCACAACTGTCAGAAGAAGTTTTTTATATTCCTTGGGGTAGTTCTCATTAGTGCTTTTGATAAAAATCGCATTTTCTATCAAATATTATTCGAACAATTCATAATAAATAATATGATGTTTATACCGAGATGGGACGATTAGAGGCAGAGATAATGGAAGAAGCTGCGAAAGTTAGATTTGTTTCCGGAAATTTTGAGAAAAAAGTATGAATTGACATTAACAAAAAATTTATGGATCCTAAAAGAAAACAGAATTTTTTTTTTTCCGGAAAGTGTACTTTTTTGTAATACTTTGAGGAACTAGGAAAGGCGTCTACTCTTTGGTCACAATATTCTATGTGGCATAGTGCCACATTATAAAATAAAATGAATGCCAATAAGCTACATTACTTGGATTCTTTGAATAAGTGCAGTTGTAGAAAAAGTATAGTGTGCAAAATGTGGGGAGAAGCACTTTTCTCACTCGTGTATTTGCATCACTCGCCCTTCAGGCTCGTGCCACAAACTTTCAAACTCGTGAGAAAAGTTGAACTTTTCCTACTTGTTGCACAATATACTATTTCATTCGTACAAATTTCGAAAATCACTATTAGGGATTTTGTTTCACGGAGACTGATGACGGATTCTCATTTAGAATCATTAACAATGTACTTGTACCTATCCTAATATTTTAATATTGAAAGGGTTTGAAGTATAATAATATTTTTTTTAATGCACCCTGTTTGCCAATACGACAAAACTTTGGAATTATCTGCCTGAGGAAGTATCTCCAATACAATTCCAATAACAAATTCTTCTATCCTTCCGACCTAGGTACGCACGATGTTTTCTGAATTATATAGGGATTCATTTTCGTGTGCTCCAAGCGTTAACAAAAATATGTGAAGAAATGTTTGGCTATTCATGTTCACACAAAATATTGATTTCAGACTCCAGATTATAGATATGGA